GGGGATGATCAGAGACAATGTTGAGATCTGCACACGGATAGGAATAGGAAAAAGGCGTGAAGGTCAGTTTAAGACGAAGAGGTCAAGATGCAGAGGACGTACATTCGAGCAAGAGTGAGAAAGGCTTGGACGCAAAGGCAGAGGCAGAGAGACGCAGAGGCAGATTCGACCAGTGATGAGTCGATTGGTCTCACTCAGGGTCTGATCCCGATGCTGAAGCACTGGCAGCTGGCAGGATAGCCCGAAATGGCCAAATACAGTCCCTCGCGCGCTCCCGCCCCAAAAACCCGCAGCTAACGCGCTGACGGGCTTCCTGGGGTCTGCGATGAGCCTCTGTCCCGCCTCCCATCCATTTTCGGCATGATCTCCGGAATGTTCAGGGAGATCAGACCCGGCTAACTTAGCCTGCCTGTACAATTTTAAAGCATTATTTATTATTATTCAGAACATACAAGATCTAGTGCATAGAGATTATGGAAAATGGAGAGGGTGTGGTTGAATCGAGCACATTGAGCACAGGGCAGGTCTCGGGGACGTGAGACGAGAAGGTGGAGGGGAGGTAGAAGCCACCAGACTTTTAACTTACCATATTACACAGCTTGGGGGCTCCCGCCGCTGCACCGCGTCCGAGCCAGCAGACTCCACGGCGATGTGCGCCCACGCGTGCACCGTGCCACTTCTCGCTCCCTTGTTCTTGCATTCACCTGCGGCTGCGGCGCGTATTTCTGTGTCGACGTATGCGTAGCACTGATAGGGGAGGGGCGCTGTCAACGAGGATGGTTGTAAGGATCGGGAACGCGAACCACCTCTCAGGTTTAGACTGTCTGCGGTCCGGTCCGCGGACCTCCGGCCCTGGCCCGGCCCTAAAGTGTCCGCGTCACCTCCTTCGACTTCGACTTCAACGAGGTGGCACCGTATCACTATAATCTCGACGCCCTCGGGATCTCCGCTCGTCAAGGACACAACCCAGCATACCTCTTTGGCCCCCTTACTTTCTTGCCAACAATGACTACAGTCCCGCCGACCGTGCTATTAGCGTACACCATCGCCGCCTCGACACCGCACAGCGGAAAGTATGGACCTGAGCACATTCTGGAGGACAAGCCACAGGATCAGTCAAGTCGATGGAGCGGCGCTTTTCAGGGAAATGCGAACCAATGGATAGTTTTGCGGTTGAAATCGTTGGCTGTCCTCAGTACGTCCCCAAGTCTGCCCATACCTATTGCAACTCAACGCTTTGACCTCAGAAGCAATAACGTTTGGAAAGGTGCTTCGCATGGCCCTTTTGTTTAATTCTCACTGATCGCCGTTTCACAGTTCTCCAAGCGTAAGGGCAAATCAACGCATGTACTTCAAGACTCTAACGTCTTGCATAGCACATCCGTGTAACATGAAAGAACTCAAAGTCTTTGTTGGGATATCAGAAGACCATATGACGGAAGTCCTCCACACCACCCTCAAGAACGACGCCGTCCCTGAAGTCTTCAACTTGGCCCATGTCAATGACGCCGGAATACCATTCCCAACCCAATATGTCAAAATTGTCCCTTTATTGTAAGCATTTAGCTTTCCTCTTCATGCATGGTTTCTCAACTACTCGATAGAGCACATGGCCAGAATTTTCATATTTCCATTTGGCACGTTGCAATGACTGGCATAATTGAACCCACCTACGTCGAGGGTGTTCGTCAGGCATACGAAGAGGTGTGCTACTAGCTTCTCCGACCTTCCTTTCCCTGACATACCTCAGTACCGTGAAACATCAGTCCTTCGCTACGTGCTGAAGCACCTACGGCAACGAAGGCTGCTGTCCCCATATCAAGTCATCCTATCGCGTGCCAACATCCAACTCGAACACCCACTCGTTACCCAACTTCACGAAAGCCTTGTTCTGCAAGGAAATTGGACAAGAACAGAGCAGCTCCTCGAGAAGATGTCTTCCTCCGGTCTATTTGACTCCTACCTCCTCTCGTCCCAACCTCATGCCGTCTGGACCCGCATAACCGGTACGGATGCCGACGGGGACATTCCTCCAGCACGTGGCGGACATGCTATGTGCATCGATCCCGAGAACGAGATGATTTATATGTTCGGAGGTTGGAACGGAGAGAAAAATCTCGACGATTTTTGGGTCTATGATATCAAGGATGATCGGTGGAAACTTTTGTGTGCTCACACGATGGAAGAGCAAAACGCACCTGGACCAAGTTCATGTCATAAGATGGTGTTCGATACGAAGACTGGATGCATATATGTGCTTGGCCGCCTTCAAGATGCGGATGATCTGCCGGCACCAGTCCCGACATCCTTACCCTCAAGAGGGCAGGCTCTGCCAGCCCCAGGCCATCTACCTTCGCCACAATTACCGCGGCCTCCTGCTACAGGCGGTGGGCCCGAGGCGAGGAATAAGAATCTCCCGTCTGAGTTCTATCGTTATCATACTCGCGGACTCCTAGAAGGGAAATGGGATTTCTTAGCGATTGATACTGCTGTAGGTTGACTTGGTTTCCTGGCGAACGTTCCTCTAACTAGGCCCTCTTTTGCTACAGGTCTCTGGTGGACCTCCTCTTATTTCCGACCATCAAATGGCACTCGACTCGGAGAACCAGATCATATACGTTTTTGGAGGACGCATTCTTGATGGACAGTTGGCCACGGCCGCGCCGAAATATTCCGGATTGTATAGCTACCACATCAACACAAGCAAGTGGAACTTACTTCAGTACGACTTTGCTCTGCATCTTCGCCGCCAATTCTCATGCCAGATGCCACTGACAGGCAACCTAATGTGGACATGTCGAACGGCTCTCCTGCTATCCCATCGCGATCCGGTAAAACCTTCTACATTAATCTGGAAATGCATTCGACTGATGACATTCATAAGGTCACTCCATGGTTCTGGATCCAAAAACGAAGACTCTGTACATCTCTGCTGGCCAGCACGGCGAGAAATACTTCTCTGACATGTATTCGTACGACACCAAGACCGGCGTTGCAACAGAAATATTTTCCAACTTCAGCACCAATAGCGGGCCAGACGCAGGCTTTACCCAACGAGCTGTCATCGATCCGACAGTACAAGAACTATATGTGTGCGTTCCTGTCCGAATATTGCTGTGACCTTCTCTGAATTGACTCTTGACTAGCATGTGCGGGTTGACGAAGAGCCCAGGTAGTGCCGCTCGGACGCTGCGAGGAGATCTGTCGAATTGGATATACCGCTACGGGACAAAACCAGGAAAATGGGTGCAAATTCTCCGACAACCCGACAGACCCCTTTCCGAGATACCCGTGCCGCGATTCGCGCATCAGGTCGCATATAACCCGAAATCGAAGACGATATTCCTGCATGGTGGCAACGCCGGAGAGGTTCCTAGAGCAGAGGAGAGAGAGGGGACGCCTGCTGGTGCTGCGGATGGAGAGCATGCCGCTGGGGATGCTGAAGATACTAGAGATCGCCAGGGCGATGGGGACAAAGATGCACCTTCAGGGTCAGCTGCGAAGGAGAGGAGGCTGGATGATTTCTGGAAAATGGAGCTGAAGAGGTTCGTCGGTGCTTTGGATCCTGCATTGGCACTCTTTCTTATATTGGTCCCTGCGTTAATTAACAGACCGGAGCCAGGAGAGATTATCCGACAAACCAAGTTCCTGATCCGGCGCCAGCAGTGGGTGGACTTCGCTATTACAGAAGAAGCTTGTTAACCTTCTAGCCTTCCCTCTTAGGTTCCGGGAAATGTGCGAAGAGCAGCCACCCGTCAAGGCTCTTGGCTTCCTTCAGAAAGAAGTTGCAAGCGTCGTTGACCACACCAACGCCCAGGAAGAGGATATATTCCGGTCGCTGCTTACGCACCTACTCGCTCCACCTCCTCAGGTGAAGGAAGAGAACAATAACCAACCACCATCGGCGTCTCGGACGCCATTCTCTTCTGACTCAAGTCCGAGTACATTGGAGCACGAAGACTCCCGTGAGTGCAGCCCTCGTCCGAGGAAGAGGTCGAGATCTGAGAATGGGAAAGAAGTTAGCAGTAGCGACAGTGAGGACGGGGCTTGGACGAACGAGATCCCGACGTCAGCAGACGTCGATGGCCCCTCCAACATCCAGAAGCTCCGCGACGTGCCCGACCCTCTCGAGGCAACGATACATGGCAGGTATCCGAGCCCAGCGGGCGCGCCATTGTCAGGAGAGAGATATGTCCAGCGGACTGAGATCTTCGAGGCGCTTCTGAAGTTCGTCAGCGAGGAATCGGCTCAGCCGTCGGAGAGCCTTTTGGATTTGGTGGAAAGGGATAGATCAAGGACTGAACATAGGATGGTATTTTAGGAAGCTCGAGTCGAACTGGTTTTATTAGCATTCGAGGATCGGATTTCTCCCTACTACACATTGTGACATGCATTCGTTTCTTCGTGACTTTCAAGCTAGGTTGAATCCTTATCTTATCAGTGGTGTATTGTGCCTGAGGGACGCAACGTAACAATTGACCTTCTCCCACAACCTGCGCACCCAACTTGCCATGATCTATTGGCATTGGGCATGTTTGTTGGGCGCCTGTCTCTCGTAGCTGATAAGAATCATGACCTTCTCCTTGGGCATCTACCGTTACGAGGAACATCGACATCTTCATCGAGGTACTCCCAACTAGCAAAGCATGACGACTATCGCTGGCATTGACCTTGGAAGCTATGCATGTATGGTTCGTATGTCTCTTTTATTCGCAGGTTGGGGTTCCACATGCTTAATCTTTGAATAGATCGATTACATGGCCTATAGTTCTATCCGAAAGCCTGCAGCAAGAAGGTTGGCGCAACTTTACCAAGTAATATCAAGCCGTTATTGATGATTCCGAAGAGTTTTCACGCTTACATCGAACCTTCTTCTGGGAGATAACAACTTGAACGGGTTCAAATATCTCGTTGGTAGAGATAGCCCCGAGCTCCTGCAGGACGAGTGCACGAAGGCCAATATGTTTGTGGGGTCGCCTTACCACATTGTTTCTAATCGAATGGCAGGTGAATTGGGCATCCAGGAGCGTATTTGTTCCTTTCGGCCCTCATGATTGTCTTCAGTAATCTAAACCATCGATTTAGGTTCCATATGGCGATGAGAAAGTCTTTGTTCCAGGGAGATTCATCCTCGCGCTGCTCTTTCGCAAGATCGTGAATGCCCTGACCGAGGCACAGCTTTGGATCTCCACCGACGCCATCTACTCGCTCCAAGCCGCCATCTCAATCCCCTCCTGGTTCGATCATTCACAACAGGGAACAATTCTCGAAGCTGCCCACCATGCGGGTTTTCACCGTGTAGGGCTGGTCACGGCTACCCCAACAATTGCTTCTGTCTACAACTCTCTTCATTTCCTACCGAGGCTCAAGAAGGAAATTCACCGTTCACAGGTTGCGGAAAACGTTCTATTCGTCGATATAGGCCATACCTCCACCACCGTTGCACTGGTGGAGTTCACTCATCGGGGTTATGCCATACAGAACGTAGAATTTAATGCCTCCTTGGGAGGTAGAGATGTAGATCTGGCTCTTGCCTCTCACTTCAGACAGAAAATCTTCATCTCAGCAGACTTCGAGATCAACCAATTCTCGCACCTCTACTCCCTTCTCGTGAAGGAATGTAAAGCGGCCAAAGACACCTTGCTCTTCTCCTGGGATGCTGACATTCGTCTCTACATCCTTCCTATCAACCGCACCTTCCGGGCTTCCCTCACCTCTGATATCATCGAAACAGTCTCCGTTCCCTTCCTCCAGAAATTAACCCTCTTAATTCAGGATGTCGTTTCCCAAACCGGACAAGGTATTTCATGTGTCGATACCGTTGTCCTATCTGGCGCTACTACAATTCTCCTCAAATCAGAAATCACGGAAAACTTGCCCGGTGCCGTCGTTCGGATGCTTGACAAACGCTTTATCACCAGAAAAGTCCTCAGTGTCTGCATGTCAATGCCAAACCGCAACACACCTAGGGACCCCTTCTGGATTGCCAAACGTTCTTCAACTGGCGCAATGGTATGGAAGGAATGGAAAAGCGACTCTGAAAAAGACGTCGATCTCGCCTCTGAGATGGAGAATATGGATTTTCCTTCATCTTCTTCAGGATCAACAAATCCTTCTTTCAGTCATTCCACAGCAGGAAATAGTCCGCGAAATTCCCATCCCGCCGATAATGCAACACAAGGTTTCTACTCGGAGCTTGGCACCGTCGTCCGTGATATTCACCGCCAACTAGACACCATCAAGAGAACGTCAGAAAGCGATCCGGAGTGGCTAGAAATGTGCAGCAACCTTTGTGCGTCCTACTTAAAGAAACACAAAATGAATGGAAATGTCAACACGTTGGGCGACGCCACGATGTGGGCAGCACGAGCCCTCGGAGACGTCGATTTTGAGACGGAGGCAAGGCCCGAGTTCCTTGCGAATCTAGCCCACTGCTTGAAGCTCCATTACGAACACTCTGGAGACTTGGAACTACTCAACAAGGCCGTCTTGTATCAAAGCTATATTATCGCGGCCTTGACGAAGGACACCCCGCCCATGGCAGGTTATCTCATCAACTACGGAACATTCCTTCAGATAAGAGGTGAACACCTGGGCCACATCCCTGACCTTGAAGATGGGGCAAAGGCTCTTCAGCGAGCCATTGGCATCCTGACCGACAGCACAAGCCCCTCAGATATCATGGCATTGATGTCAGCGTTAAGCAATCTAGGGAACATTTTACAGGTTCTGTACCGCTGGACAGGACGGATCGAGGACCTGCATCGCATGATCACCTGTTACGAATCCGCTCTGTCAATCACCAAGGGAAGCGACGCAGAGAGGGCTGCCAATCTCAACCACTGCGGGATAGCCATGCTGATGCATTACAAGCACTTCGGCGACGTCCAGGATGCACACAAAGCCATCGAATACGTTACCGAGGCTCTTCGCTGTGTCCCAGAAGAGCATCCCTCAACGCCCATTTATATTGGCAATTATGTCAGCGCCTTACACTCCTTGCATATCCAGACAAATGACCCCGAGACACTGGACAAGGCTATCGAAATGAACAAGAAGGCACTGAGGTTGCTGCCAGAGGATTCGCCCCATAAGAGGAGCCATATCTCCAAACTGGGAAACCTTCTCGGTAGCAAATATACCTTTACAAAAGATCTCGAAACGTTGGGCGGAGCTCTTCGGCATCAAGAGGCTGCTCTGAACCTGGTCCCAGAAGACAAATTCATGGAACGGTTCTCTTACCTCAACAATATTGCGACGACCCTAGTTGAGCGATTCCGCACGACGCGCGCCATCGAGGACATCTCCAGGGCCATGAAAATGTTTGAGGAAGGTATTTTGCTGGTCGACGATGGTTCGGATAGGTCGGCGGCTATCGGGAACCTGGCGAATGCTGAATACGAGTACTTCGCCATGTTCGGTGATCATGCCGCGCGACAGAGATGCTTGAAGCTCTGCAAAGAAGTCGTCAATTCGCTTGCCCCGTTAACGGTCCGATTCGAGGCTACGAAGGTGTGGATAGCAGCCACAAGCCAGAGTGTGAACGGACCGGAGGCGCTGGAGGCCAACACGGCTGCAGTCGACCTGCTTTCCCAGTTGGCCTGGCCCGGCCTCAGCCTCTCGTCCCAAATCAATGTCTTGCGGGTAGCCCGCCAGACTGCCTGCAACACTACTGCAGCGGCATTGCACTTTGGAGACGTGGCACGGGGGCTGGAATGGCTCGAACAGGGACGAACTATCGCATGGAATAACCTCTTGCAGATCCGGTCTCCTCTGAAGGGTCTCGAAGAACAAGCACCGGAGTTGGCACGGGAGATAACCAGACTCTCTCAGCTACTGGAACGTGGACCACAGGGTGACGTACCGCTGGATGGATCTGTTCCGACCCTCAGAGTCGAAAAGTCCCCTGATTTTTCTCGAAATGCGATTGCATTAGAGAGGGACAAGCTCCTCAACAAAGCAAGGGTGCTTCCTGGGTTCGAGAACCTGATGAAAGGCAAGAAATTCACTGACTTCGCCGTCGCCTCCAACGACGGGCCAATAGTCGTCGTAAATATCAGCACATACAGGTGCGACGCGATCATTATGTTGTCCGGTCGATATCCTGTCAACCTTCGTTTAGAGAATTTCTCTCTGGAGCAGGCGGAGAACTTGAGGGTGCTGATGCACAAGGCATTAAAGGAGTCCATGAGAATGCAAAGAGGCGAGCAGAATGACCCTAACGAGACGCGATTTGGGCGTCCCAGGAGAACAAACACAGACAGTGATGCGGACACCATTTTTCGATATATACTCAAGGAGTTGTGGGCCAAGGTGGTCGAACCAATTATAAACTGTCTAGGTATCGGAGTCAAGGTAAGTGAGGAATTTCATAGAGCACAACAGCAACTAACGTACTCGGATATTATCAGATGTTGGAGCACATGCCGCATATATGGTGGTGCCCAACTGGTCCACTGACGTTCCTCCCTCTCCACGCAGCTGGAATATATGCAGCCGATCACGATCGCGAAACGGCGACGATAAGTCTGCTCGACTATGTCGTCTCCTCTTACATCCCTAGTTTGAGCGCATTGCACAATATCGTCTACAAAGATAATACGCAACGACCACCGTTCGGGATGCTTCCTGTTATCCAGTCAAGTGCGCCAGGCCAAACACCCTTGCCTGCAACCCTTGCCGAACTGGAGATAATTCGGAAGTACGCAAGACGCTTTTCTGATCGAGTCCGAGTCCTTGCAGAAGAAGAGGCGACAGTCGAGTCGGTGATGAGCGGAATGAAGAGGAGCTCTTGGGTCCATCTGGCATGCCATGGACAGCAAGACGTCGACGACCCAACAAAGAGTGGTCTACATCTCCAGGATGGGATACTAGGCTTGCAAGACATCATACAGACTCCTCTCCCCGGCGCCGACTTCGTGTTCCTCTCAGCGTGCCAAACCGCCTCAGGAGACGTCACCCATCCGGACGAGGCGATCCATTTGGCTGCTGGTATGTTACTGGCGGGGTTCAACAGTGTCATCGCCTCGATGTGGTCGATTGGCGACAGCGACGCGACGATCGTAGCTGATCAGGTGTATGCCTATCTCTTCAGAGATGGAAAGGTTCCAGATAGCAGGGAAGCCGCAAGGGCATTGCATAGAGGGGTCCGTTTCTTGAGGGCAAAACGTGCTGGGTCCCGAGGAGGAAGTGGGTTCGTGAGCTGGGTTCCTTTCATCCATGTCGGCATGTAGGTCCATCCTCGTGAAGAGGTATTAGGGTGTCGGTTTAGATAAGCGAATGTATGGCCAATCCTATGGTCTGAATTCCACGAGGGACATGAAAGCTGGCGCTGAGGCATCAAATCTTGGTCTGAAGTTACTCGTTGTCAACGATTACTGACTCGGATCCACTCGATTTCGATTTCAGGCTAAGATCGCATTTAGACCTTATACAATTGCTTTGTTTTTGCTTCAATACAACGTTTGTCTGTCTTTGGAGCAACAAGGATTAATATCTCGGACCCAACGTGACCAAGATCTGGCATCCAACGCACATTACTCGTCAAGATTTATTGCCTTCCCGAACTTCGCGTACAGAACCACTTTGAGCTGCTTCATCTGGGACTCGCAGTCGTCTGCTTGTGCAGCGAGCTCGGCGACTCTGGCATCCACCGATGCCTGGTCTTTTTCGAGGCGTTTCAAGGCGCGGGAATGGGGCATGTGTAGGAATGCATCCCCTACTTTGTACCTTGGGGCGGATTAGATGTGAAATACAGTATTTGGTGATGGAAAACACGGACAGAACTGGCTGATCTTCCTCTGCCAATTCGAGTTCTGTCGAAAGATCGTCCAAGGCTTCTTTTTCTTGCTATTGCTCGCAAATCAATGGCGGTGTAAACACGAGGGTAGACGAGACAAACCTTGAGCTCTCCCAGCTTTTCTTCAATCACCCGAATCCTGTTATTCAATTTCGAGAACGTGTTGATGCGTTGTTGGTCCTCTTCGATGCATTAGCCCACTGTCGTCGTCTTGACCATTAAGACGCACCCCACGACACCTCTGTGGAATCGTCGTTTTCCTCCTCTTGTTCGAGCTACCCCCGAGATGAACGTGATTATGGGGATGCATCAGGTGCATAAGCCTCCGACGTACCATACGCATGGTTGGGTAGATGATGGAAGGAAGAAAAGGGCACAAAAGGACATCTGGCAGGGTCCACCTGATCGGCTCAAAGACCGGCTAAGTCGCGGAGTCTTCAGTTCCGCCGCATTGGGCCTCTGAATTTCACCTTCAACGTCAACCCCCACCATGTCCACCGCTGTCGCCAGCGCGAGGACGTCGCTGAGGCACTACGCCTCGCTCTTTCTGACGTTGGACAGCGCGAAATCGGCACTGTTCTACTATGTTCTCCTGACCCAGGTGATCAAGGCCCAAAGGCACCTACGGGCAAGAGGCTTGACCACGACGGCAAAGGAGCTGTATAGTTGGGTGTCGCAGGTGCGTTCACAGATGGCATTACAAGAAATATCAATGAATTTTGGTTCAGCAAATCGTTCGTCTTGTCCTGAGCACTCCTGCGATGAAGAAGAAGGTGGCTTCCCAAATGGACCAAGCTAAGCTCGACATCGAGAACCGTCTGGTCCCCAAAGGCCCCAATGTTGTTCGCCACTTGGCTCTCCCATCCGAAGGAAAATCTACGGAGTGGATTTTGAAAGAGATGGAAGTAATGGACGGCGAAATGGGTGGGCCAACCGACACCTGGAGGCAGGGCAAGCTTTCTGGTGCCGTTTATCGTGAGTCATCCGTCATTTCATACACGATCTCACAGGCAAGTTGAACAATCACGCGTAGATGGTGGCGACGAACTTTCTAAGCTCATCGTCGATGCCTACTCTCGCTACTGCGTTTCGAATCCACTGCACCCTGAGGTCTTCCCTGCGGTTCGCAAGATGGAGGCGGAGATTGTCGCTATGGTCCTCAAGATGTATCACGGGCCACCAAGCTCTGCAGGTGTTATGACCTCTGGAGGGACCGAGAGTATTATCATGGCAGTCAAAACCTACCGCGACTGGGCGAGAGCCGTCAAGGGCATCACAGAACCCGAAATGTGCGTGGACGATCTTTACTTCTCATTCAGGGTTGTTGAATCATCTTTAGGATTGTGCCAGAGACTGGCCACGCTGCATTCGACAAGGGTGCTGCCTACCTCGGTATCAAGGTCCACACCATCCCCCTTGATGCCTACACGCGTCAGGTCGATCTTAAGCGCGTCAAGCGCGCTATGTAAGCACCATCTAACTCACCTTTGGATCCGACATTGATTCCATAATAATAGCAACGCCAACACCATTTTGGTTCGCAGTTGCTCTTGACTAACGCCCTGTTTTGTGCTGATTGAATCCCTTCAGCTCGTCGGGTCGTCTGTCAACTTCCCAGACGGAAACCAGGATAACATAACAGCTCTCGGTGTGCTCGCGAAGAAGTACAAGATCGGTCTGCACGTCGACTGTTGTCTGGGGTCTTTCATCGTTCCTTTCCTCGAGCCCGCAGGGCTCTCGAAAGGCAGTGATAAAGGCAGATACCGCCTCCAACCATTCGACTTCTCAGTCGATGGCGTTACAAGTATCAGTTGCGATACCCACAAAGTTCGTCGCCCCGTTGCAAGTGACGACTGTTAGCTGATCTTCTGAACTTTCAGTATGGATTTGCGCCGAAGGTATACACTCTTTTATGTCGATTCTGCTTCTGGAACTTATTGCAATGCCATAAGGGCACGTCCGTCATTATGTACAGGACCGCGGACCTACGACAATACCAGTACTATGTCAACCCTTCCTGGATAGGTACCATTCCTTCCTTTTATCTTTTGCAATTTCACGACTGAATCTAATGTCACTGTAGGTGGCGTCTACGCCAGCCCGAGTATTTCTGGATCCCGGTAAGCCTGTCGTCTCTGTCATTGTTCATGTTCCTTACCTTTTCGATAGACCTGGTGCCCTGATTGCGGGCTGCTGGGCAGTCATGCAGTACATGGGTACAGAGTGTGTCACTACTCACCACCCCGTCGACTGTCTCTAATCTTTCTTTTCCAGCGGCTACCTAAATTCATGCCGTGAGATTGTCGGCGCCGCACGCGCTATCGCCGATGCCATCACTGACGACATCCCCGAGCTTTACGTCCTCGGTAACCCCCCTGCGTCTGTCGTCGCCTTTGCTAGCAAGCACCCCAAGGTGGACGCTCTGGAGGTCGGGGACGCCATGGCCAAGCTCGGCTGGCACCTGAATGGACTGAGTTCTCCTAAGAGCGTACACATAGCCTGCACCGTATGCATTGTTTGCCTCTTTCCTGTGTCATGTGAAAACTAATGTTGACCTTTCTCCTTTTGTTTTGTTCCGGGATTCCAGCGCCTTACCGTCCCAGTGGTTGACCAATTCATCGCCGACCTTAAAGACTCTGTGCGTGTAGCCAAGTTGTCCCCGACTGGCAAGGGCTCCATGGTCTCCGTATACGGTGCGTATGGTCATCTTCTAACCTTCATTTGGTCGCTGATTCTGCAATCCACCCAGGCCTCGGGAACTCTAGCGCTGTCGGCCCAGAGATGGTTGGGCAACTCGCCTCTGCGTTCCTGGATGCTCTTTACAAGGCTTAGTTGCATCCCCATTATGGATTATTCGGACTATCTTTATGGAAAGCGTCGTATATCTTCTTCATTTGCCTCCATTGATCTATTGTCTTGGACAAATCAGAGTGGAGGGTTGTTTTATGAGTATGTACCTCCCACATAGTTCCGATGGTCGATAATTAGGGACGACCATCCTGTAACCTCACTCCCTTTTTCTAGAGAAGGCAAGGCATAGCCCTGAGTTTCTAGACAGAATTTCGAGATCTGGGGGCGTCCTGCACCTTGAAGACGCCCCGAAAGCGAATGAATCCTGTTAGGTTTGTGTCATGAACCCTTCGATCGGACGTGAATATTCGAATAGTAGTTGAATCTTGAGGCGAGGGTTTGCTCGAAACAAAGTATCGGAAGCCTCTCCATTCGGACTCTTTAATGCTACGATTTTGACATGACATCAACATTTTCCGAGGTATTTATCATGTGAGGATTTTATACATCAGGGATCTCTGCTTCTTCTTTTGCACCCTATTATTTAAATTTGGCAAACGGTTCCAGAAACCGTTTGTGTATAGCCCTTGTATATATCAATAGAGCGGATTTGAGTGATTGAATCTGCGGTGGGAGGCCCAGCAGACCAGCAGACGTCGCCGCTGCTCCAGACATTCCAGAGCCAAGGGCCAGAAACATTGGGAACCTATTGAAAAATGATGCAAGGCTAAGAAGGCGGATGAGAGAGCGAAAGTTAACGCATACGTCGGTTGTAAACCTTGCAACTTGCGTGCCATCGAGGTAGAATATAGTGACACCGGGGAACCACTACCGTCGGCGTGTCAATTACGGCGAAACGCATTAGGAATGGAAACTCGACTCACGTCAATACGGTATTCTGGGAGAAGTATTAGCACTAACTGGAGCAAAAATCAATGGCGTACCATGAAAAGCGGTCCTAGGGTCAAATGGGAAAAGGATGGTAGCCCTGGTAGACGGCTGTGAATAAGACGGGTGAATTTACACACTTGAATACCACAATAACAAGTATCAACAATTTACCTGGTTTGACGCCCAAATTCCAGGCGGGACGCACGCTTGGGTAGAAGTGAAGATTGTGCTCGTCAAGATCTCGAAATCGATCTCCTGGGTGTTGCTCTCTGTGAACGCATAATCAATCATAGGCGCTTGGAAGTTATAGGACGCCTCACTGTAAAAGAAATTGCCCTCCACGACCCCAGGTACGCTACTGGACCTTTGCACGGTCCTGACCGACCCGTACAAGAACTGCTCGAGGGTACCGATCTCGGCGCCAATCACGGGCCCAGAACCAGAATATGCATTGACTTTGAGGTTCAAGGCCCCGGTCCCGAAATTCACGTTGTCCTGCGTGAATTCGCGGGAAATAGGCGTTGCATCGATTGGGTACGCTGATGCGTAGAAGCCATGCGCGCTGTCAAGGAACTAGTCAGGCGTTAAACTTAAAGACAGGGAGACTCAATATGCTGGCACTCACTCGAGAAATTCGAGCGCGTTTTGGGAGGGGGTTCCTGAAGAAAAGTTTGTGAAACTGCGCTGAGTAAAGCCTCCTTGGGTTCCTGGAACGACGTAGGTCTGACATTGAGCCCAAACAACGGTAGGTACGAGGAGAGAAAGAGTAATGGACGTTTTCAACATCTTGAGGATGGACTGATGGGAAACTGCGAAACCAGCACCACCCATCATGCCTCTTATATAGTCAGATGTGGTGCGAGGTCCTCGTAGCACGGCCGTTAGGTCAGACGTCTATCCGATTCTTCGCAGCTTGTTGAGATGATCATCCGGTGACGCATCCCTCGTAATGTCGTCACCGATCCAAAGGAATTCGTACCTTGAGAAGAAAGAGATTTTGTGTGGACCTCGGAATAGCTGATAATTCCAGTAGTGTTGGAAAGTTTACTCCTGGATAACGAGACAGGAAACTCATGGAGCTTCAGCGCGAAAGCCCGATGTACGTGATATGCTTAGTCAATGCCAATCAAGAACGCGTCAAAAAGTGGCATAGACTATGCATCAGGCTCACCGTGATACCCATAGTAGTTATTTACGTTAAATCTTGGGTTGTTACTCAGTCCTCCATCTTGAGCGCGGTTCATCTAGCTAGACGTGACTGTGAGTTTCAGAGCTATGCGGCCGGCCGAGAAGGCGTCCAAAGAGGAATCGGCCTTATGGGAAATGAATAACCCGCAGTTTCGTAACTCAGAAGAAGAGCAATACGAAATATAATACGAGTTTATAGTCCGGTAGTAACGTACGATGGGTCAGCGTGACGAGGAGAAACTTCGGAGTAAATGGTGTGGCGCACCTCCCCGCCTGCCTGCCCAATCAGGAAGCAAAATGGCCATCATGATGGAGAGTTGCGATAGAAAGAAAATGCTACAAGATTCTTCGTTATTACTGGGAGTATTCTAGCGTCTATGGGGTCTAATAATAAAGTACAAAGTTGACTTCTAAATGAGATGGAGATGAGGTGCACTGAGGATGAATGTACATAGGCGGATAAAATAAGGACGTAGTGGAGTGAAACGGATGCGAGAGATCATGAATAGATATAATATAAGCACCATTATAGAAATGTGAAAGTGAAGATATGTATACGCCCCGTAGAGAAATAAAAGGAACCCACAAAGAAAAGAACGAACCGCGACTAGTGTCGCCTGCGCACATGAATCTCAATCCCCTCGTCACTCCCATCTTCGTCGCTCGCCTCAGCGGGTTCAGTTGCGAGTGTTTGCAATATTCCTGGATGTTGTCCCTGTCCATCTCTGGCTGCGATACCAACCACAGTACCATGCCGGCCGCGTCCGACCAAACCCACCAAATCTGGCTCGCTGGCGGTGCCTCGTCTCTCGCAGCTCGAACTCCTCCTTCTCTCCTCCTCGGTGGGTCTTTGCCATTCCGATGGCGTGCTAGGCGAGCTCTCTGGCCCAGCGGGTGGTCGAACTTGTGGTACGTCGGAGTCGTCCGTCGACGTTCGCGACCGTGCCGCCTCTTCGTAACTCGGCAGCCCGCGCATGCTAGTAAGAGGAGGTACGCCTCCGATGAAGCCGCGAGACGCGATCGAGTAGTCTGGCACCTCTGTGAGTGCTCTATGCAGGAGCGCAGGCCCGGATAATTCTGATGGGTGTGGGGACTGGTCTGATGTCGATGGTGTAGTGAGAGGACACGCCGAAGAGGTTGCTGTAGGGCGCGAATTTGTATGGTGAAGAGTCGGGACGACAGGCGCTGAATGAGAGTGTGGCATAGGCGGCGGCGTCGTACTCCTGCTGTGCTCAGGGCTAGTTGAGGAGCTTGCATTTCCGTGTGCAGCGAGCGTCGTAAACGGCTTCATCGTTGCCTTTAATAAGCTCTGCAGGTTACGCATGCTGCTGCTATGCGAATGACTGTGCCTGTGCCGGCCCATTACGCTGCTTCCGCCTGGAGTGTCTGGAGGCGCCAAAGGAGACGGCCTCTCGAAATTACTATCCAGACTCAGCCTTGTACTGCTCGGACTCGGTCGAGGAGGAACATCAAGTCTCCTCTCTGGACTGGGATTCCGACTGGGAGCCCTGCTACCCCAGCGACTGCCCCAGCGACTGCCCCCTCTGCCTGTATTTTCTGTCGCTGTGGAGGTAATCTCCGCGTTACCCATCGATGTTGTGGTTGGTGGTGCCAGAGGATCTGTTGGAGGCGCAACCTGGTCGCCCCATAAGCGTCGAATCGGTTCGTCGCTCAGACTCAGGAGTAGCTCCGAGTTGACCCAATCAAGAGGTGTGCTTTCTCCTGCTACAGGCGCGTGTGGGAGGTGTTGGTGAGCTGCTGAGCCTAACGATGAGCTACCGGGCGTATTTCTGCCCGAACGCGGGCCTCGTGATAGCGGTGCAGAGCTTGAACTCTGCAAGGCTGCTTCATGGAGAGATTGTGCGAGGTTCGTCACGTTTGTCCCAGAAGCTGTTCTGGACAAATAACCTGCGCTTGCTTCAGCGACAGCAGCGGGTGAAGAGCCGTCTCCCGGGCTGCTGGTACCGACACGTCCAATCCACGGATTTGACACGCGCACAGTGACCGCCTCGGGCAGGAACATGTTCGCAACGCGATCACGTACATGCGCCCGGTAGCTCGGCAGCTCCCTATCCGCCTCTAGCATGTTTCCGCTTGCTGACTCCCCGTTCCTCTCACTCGTGTCAGCATCTGCACTGCCCAGCCCGAGTTCGACAGCCACCGCTCGCAGTCCCACCATTTCGAGCACCATCCGCCGCGTCAGCACACTACACGAACGCGCGTCCTCGAGTGTGCGCCCGTCGAGGATGTGCACCGGGAGCGAGCATCGCAGCTCGGAGATATGTCCGTCGAAATTGTGGATGTGTATTGACCAACGAATGCGGTGGGTGACGGTAATGGGTTCGACGGAATGGGATGGGGTTATAGACTTGATGGGGAGCGGAAGTAGAAGGACTCGTATCGCTGGGCGAGGACGTCGTTGGGAAGGCAGGAGAAACGGGTGACAAGACGGGGGTAACGGGCTGGAAATTGCACCTTGAAGGTAGCGGTAATTTGATGTAAGTGACAATGTCGCTGGCGTCGATCGATTGAGGTGAGGAGCTCGCAGTTGCGATATCTTGTGTGTCCATTTCTACCGCCCGTCCACCCACGATCTCATGCTTTACAGTCGCCACCACCTTCGTGTCCTCCCGTGTTCCTCCTCGACTATGCACCTTCGTTGTCTCGCATAAGTTGCTCACGATGCTCTGGATTGCGACTCCTTTGACCAGCGGCGAGAACTTGAGAATTGCCACAATGGTGTCGCCGGCCGCCCAGGCCTTGTGCGGGAGGGTCACGGCGTACATGAGCTTGTCGGGCCATGTGTTCTCGATCTCGAGCGTCTGCTGGTACTCGAGCGCCTCAGGTGTGAATGAACGGACTATGTAGATCGGAACGATGTGTTGGAGGTTGTACGCAAGGCCTGGACGGACTGCGATGGCGCGAAGTCGGTAAGATATCGAGCTACCGCCGAGCGCTGTCGTGAAGATGGAGGAGGGTAGCGCGCCGCTGATGTCGAGGGAAAAGGGGAATAGATGGCGACCTGCTTTCAGAGTCCTAGAGTGTTTCTTGTCGCCTTCGAGAAACGACCAATCGTGGCTGAGAACGACAGAGGTGGGTGGTGGCGTGATGAGACTGCAAGCTGGGTCGTTAACGGCTCAACTTCGGAATGAAAGCGAACTAACGAGTCTGAGGCCGAAGGAGGCAAGCGAACCTTCCCTTTGAATTGGAGATTGAGCTCTTTCAGCGTCGTTGGTTCAGCGAGCAGCAATGAAACCTGGCCGCTGAGTCGCGTAGGCTCGAAGTCATGGGCTGTCCCTTTGAGAACGAGGGTCTGCGAGTCGAGGACGATATCGAGGACGGGTTTCTCTTTCTCGCGGCCCATGGTGGGCGGGAGAAGAGGATGATAGACGGAATACAAAGGAAAGGAGGGGCCTGCGGAATGGAGGTGCCGTCATTTTGTCGCGCTTCAGCATGACACTAAGCAACAGACAACGGAAAACCGGAAACGATCTGAGATTTGGATCGACCGAAGCCCTTAGCGATGATCAAACCTGCCGTTTTCGTATCTTCCACGTTCCTCAGGGACTCATCTCCCTTGACTGCCCAGGGAGAACTCAGGACTCAGTGAAATGAAAGCTCCTGGGCTATTTCTCCTGTCTTCACCATCGGGATTCGTCAGTCAGAGACTAGACTTCGAGATGAGTCATTTCTGAGTGTGATTTTTTCCGGATAAGCAAAATAGCAGATGTTTTTATTTTTACTTCCGGTCCGGCGGTGAGGTCTATTTTCGCTTAGTTTACCGCTGAACTGACGAACAAGAGCTCAAGATTATCAGCAGAAAAAATCTTTCCCGCGTGTCCGATACCCATCTAGGCTCCCAGCCTTGGGGCATAGAGTTGACATTTCATTTTTCTACACGAGTTATTCGCTGAGATCGGGGAGGAACAAGCTGGCAAACTCACGCACAATGGGACATAGCGAAGACGTCACCGGCTCCCAGCCGTCCGAGCATGGCTGCCATAGGTTACTCTCCGCCGCCCAGTGGAATAATTCGGGAAGCTGGCAGGCGATGTGGCCGCTGGCCAAGCCCGCGAAGCCGTTATGGACGTCTTCAATCAATGTCTATTTCAGAGTCTTAATTGTTCTACCGTTTGTTCGTGCCCACCCTTCCATGATAAGGATGAAGCGCAAGCACTTCAGCGGAAGAACAATGGCGTAATCAGGAGAGGCACTACTACATATCTTCGCAGAGCCTTTCAGCGCTGATCGAGAAGTCTACTTGTATCTTCACCACATCTTTCGCGCTGCGAAACCTCGGGAGAACCTGTTTCATGCCTAGAGAAGTGGCCGTGTTGGTGAGGAACTTCACACAGGAACGAAGGGAAGGCGCTCACGAATTAGCCGCACGGTGGGTAGGTAATAGATAAGCTCTTCCATTATTATCTGAGGAAATTAGGGTGAGTACCCCTTTATGCATCTATATCTGATACGCTAGATGCCATCCTTCATGCAGCTCGTTCCACATCGCCTTCGATTCTTTTCTTAAGCCCTAAATTTCGCGAACCGTAACGAAGACCGTTTTCATTCCACGTTTTCATTCTAGATTACGGCGAGACAAAGCAAGTGAGGCTTCGAACCGCAGAAATAATAATGATCAGTGCTGATCAACAATATCGATAACAGATACCACAGATATCGCATAGCGCTCGAGCACCGTCTTCCAACGTGCATGGGTCGCGAGGCAGGGCGCGTGTCCGCCGTCCGGGCATGTACACACTCTGAATCGTGCTTCTGGGTGCAACGTCATAGCATGGCATGTAGGATATCGGGAGGTCGGTCCGAGAAGCGATTGTCCGAGACGGGCGCTTATCTCCGCTCGACCGCCCGAGATACGCTACTTGCTAGCGAAGTTGAACATGCAAGGCAGATTTCCGAGGATACTCCTAGCGCCCGGGGGAGGCGTAATCCGCTCCAGGCTTGTTACCCTACCTCTTCGTGACGCTGACGTTCAAAAAGGACAACTGAGAGTTCGAGGATCTCTATCCCAACAGTCGATCGGCTCGCAACCGCCGCGCATGTATCGAACAACGACAGGCTATCCTATATTCGAAGAGAGAGACGTCGAAAAGAGGGGGGGAGGGATCTAAGTATAGCATGATTCATGAAGGTATCGAGTCAGTGAAGAAATTAATATCACCTCAAGTATTCCTCGTGTCCTCTTCACCAATCCCTAATCTCCATTCTCTCCGCCTTCATATCTGCGTGGTATCTCTTCGAGTACGCGATGACGTCCTCCTCCGGCATTTGATTACGTAGAACTATTTCTACACCATCGTCGATCAGGCGCTGGAAACCTTCCAAACTTTCCTCGTCAATGTAGCATCCATTGCCACCTTCGTTGAAACACAGATGCACCTCTACTCGCGCGAGCACCCCTCGGCCTTTTTTCTTCCATTCCGGAGAAACCCTCGCTGCTATCATTCTGTAAATGGCAGGCCATGAGAACTTGAAGGCGCCATACTGGCAGTCCAAGAACAAGGAGGTAAGGGAAGGCAAGAAGAGGCATTCGTCGTCATTCTCCTCGTCATAGGAGTTCGGTTGCTCCAGGAGTTCAAAGAACTTGTCAAAGATGTCAAAATCATAGATTTTTAAAGTTCTGAGCGTTGGTACGGTTCTGAGGAGTTCAAGATGCTCGTGGTCGTGGATTAACATGCACTCCTCGTGGAAGAGAGTGAAGGTAATTAGTGGGCATGACGAACGCCGGAGGAATGCCATTACGGGTTCCAAGGATTCACCAGGGCACTCGTAGCTCAAATTCTTCAAAGAAGGAGCGGTGAGGTGGCCAAAGAATAGGGATATTTGATCGATGATGATATGCACATCAAGTGTGGTGAGATTGGTGTGAACAATATTTTGGCCATGGAGCTGGTGGATGCTCCCTTCTTCGTCGATATTACGCAAGGTACACTCGCGCATTTCAGGTGCCAAGTGGAGCATCTTCAGAGCTTCATGCGCAGTGAGACCAGAAATATCAGCTCGTGTGACATTGCTCCAGTCGATGTGGGCCACGCGAAGCTGGTACCCAGATAGAGAGACGGAGTTGGGGGCTGGAAGGGTGGTTTTGAGATCGAATGTGAACGTCGTGTCGTCCTGATCGCCAAAATCACCCGGGAAGGTGCGTTCGATGGAGAGGCTTCGAAGAAGTGGCGTACCAGGTATGTCTGCTTGGAAGAAAGGCAGCAGATTTTCAGGTATCTTCAAAGAGATGCCACCCCATCTCGTAGAGTAGCTGTTGAGGGTGCTGATGATAGAACGACAAAAGGCCCTCCACGAAAAATCTCGTGAGTGGCAGTACTGAATATGCAATTGAATGGTGAGTGGGTGGGGGCTCGAGCGTGAGAGCCAGTCATCCAACGTCTCCTTGCTCAGACCCGGAGTCTGACCTGGATCAAGGCGGAGATGGATGACAGTCCATAATGAGGTATTCAACTTTGCGACGGCTTGCCAGCGTTTGGACACCGCAGAAAGAGTGAACGGGACGCGGTGAAGGGGCCACGACTCAAGGCCTGAATCCAAGTCTTCTTCATTCACGCAGAGTTGGAAGATCTGCGACGTGACCTCAGTCGGAAGTAGCTTTGTAAAAGGGTCGTGGGCTTCGTTTATGCCGGTTTTCAAGATGCCACGGTGTGCCTCTAAGTGGTTCAGAAAGGCCTTGGTTTCGGAAATCTGGCGATCCAAAATGTCTAGCTTGACGCATGGAGGGCACGGTGAGGTAAACTTTCTCCAAGTTGCGCAGCCGATAGCACTATATTTGCCGCCAAAGGCGCCCTCTTTGCCACAGGTCTTGCACACAAAATGGGACATCTCCAGAATTGAGAAAGGATGTTACCATGAGTGAATATGAGATAGAAAGCGAGAAACCGCACCTAATACAAATTTGATTGTAGACTTTCGCCTTACTGGTTGCGTCCCATCCGATGTCAATGAGGTGCTGATGAGGTGGTAGGTAATAGGTAGCAAACGCGTGCGTATGATCAACAAACGTGACAGTTCCTGGCGTGGGAAGGATACGAAAGATTGCCGTGATCCGACAATTCTGTCCTTCCTTCCAGCAACTCGAGTCTTCGTCAGGAATTTCGAAGAGATTCTCAACTTTCTGGCACCACATTTTTGTAAATGTCGCACAACTCGTCTTTGAAGCGTCCACCTGCAGAAGACGGATCTCTCGAAGACAACGGCACAGATATGGTAGTCCTGAAACCGGTCAAGCGTCAGCGAAGAGAGGGCCAGGAAGAAGACCCGGATAGCAATGACACCCCCGTATTTCCCTTCATCCCCTCAGAAATACTCCTCGAAATATTTACTTGCCTTGGACGCCTTCGCTCGGGGACACCACGCGGCTCGATCGCCTTCCTCGACCTTCTTCTCGTCTGTCGTCGTTGGAGAAATGCCGCCCTCTCCTGCCATGACCTTTGGACAGATATACCCGTTTTCAGCGAGAAATGGACCAAGAAGATGCTGGACTGGTCGAAGGATGTCCCCCTCAGCGTAAACGTGCACACGAACCTGGCCACAGACAACCATTCCCCTACTGATATCCCCCGCGCCAACTCAGCCGCCCTCTCCGAGACCCTCGTGCACTTTCCCCGCGTCCAAGAACTGCAAATCAAAAATTTCCTCCCAGGCGAGATCGGGACATTTATCAATTCAGGACTCGCCTCCGCACCACTTCTCGAATCCCTGCAACTCATCGTTGCCCGCAAGGAGTTGACCGCCCCTGACGGTCGGCGCCAGGTCGTCGCACTATTCACACCCCCTAGCGTGCAGGCACCCCGCCTCCAGCGATTTACCCTTGTCCACATGGGCTTTAGTTGGAATTTGTCGATGCTGCGCAACCTCGTCGAGCTGGAGGTGCGCGACCCGGCCGAACAATCGAGGGCGAGCATGAGCACCGTCCTCGATACGCTAAGGGAGATGCTGTTCCTCGAAAGGCTCAGCCTGCACAACGCTTTGTGGGACAATGGCCAGGTAACGGCATCTACATCTCCAGTGGACCTTCCGCGAATGAAGAGGCTTGAGCTGTCGGGGCCTGGGAGGGAGCTCGAGCTCGTTCTCGGCGCACTTATTCTACGACGCGACGTGCGCATGAAGCTCAACCTCAATGGGGCGCTATTCAGTGGGGCTATCATGAAATTACGCAAGCATTACCCTGAGCCCTCCCTCGGCAGCCCCCCAGGCTGCTACCTGAACAAACTTAACATGACGGACGGCAACTTCAGGACAGGGTTCTCGGTCCGTGCGTGGACAAATATCGACAAGGAGAACGATCCGCAGATTGAACTGCTACTCTCTTGGAGCCACGGGGAGTACAGCTATCAAGCAGCTAGGGGTGTGGCAACGACGCTTTCGGTGGCACTTCCCCTGCGCGAAGTGGAAGAGATTGTAGCGCTGAACTTACCGATGAGCGATAAAGACTGGAAACGCGCGTTCGGGTCGTTCAAGAAGCTTGTGAAAGTCAAACGGGTGGAGAAGAAGTGGGATCCGTCGCAGCTTGTGGATCGCAGATTCAATTCTGCACCTTTTTTCTCCCCGAAGGTTGCAGTGGGTGTGGGTCCTAGATAATGTTGGATAAGCCCTTTTACTTAACCAAAAAAAAATCATCCGGTGCGACGTCGCCTACGATCCCGCAAGAAGTTGATGTTGAGGACATCGGGAGGTCGGTCCGCTAAGACAAGGTTGTTCCTCGATGGGCGCTTATCTCCGTTGGACAGTTGGGCACGTCCATAGGGTGGATACACGAACCTGGCGAAACTGGTGTGCGCCAGCTTTCCGAGGACCCTAGCGTCCGTGTGACGCATAATCCGCTGAAGCCATGCAATGTACGTCTTCGTGACCTCGACATTCTTAGTGGACGCTGACCTTTACGGTGCGCGATTTAAATATTTTCTCAAGTGGGTTTTTTCTAGTTGAGGGATAGTATCCCAGCATTTATTATTCAGCTCGGAAATTTTACCCTCCATTCAAAAAACAATGAATTACTTATCTTAGAATTCGAGGACAAAAGGTGTCGGGGTATAGCGACTTCCTAGATTCATACGACACGACGTCTCGAAAGTGAACACAACATCATTGCCACTCGCGTTCATCAAGCACTTAGGGAACAGCTAGTCGCCAGCGCCGGACCATTCGAGCCACTTCCCTCAAGTTTAGAACGAGTATATCGTCACCTCGAGAGCATTATAGACGAACTATGCGGTTGGTATTTGCGATCAGGGTATGTTGACCACGATTGGGTCAGACGCACCTCCAGTCCAACCAGATGGTCTTCATCAATCATGCAAGAAAAGAGGTCCTTCTCACTAACATTGCGGGATGCGACGTGGTACGGCAGACGAGTTACGACGTCTTCCTCAAATATCTCCCCCTTTTCAAGGATGGTAGGATTGTCGTGCCCAAAATACTCCTGCCGTGCGTGCAAACCTGGAACCGAGCAACCAATTAGAGACGGTGATGAGGAAAAGCTGAACACCTCGATCCAGGTGCTGTCGCGACCCTCTGGTATACAGACGATGCGGTTGCCGTGCGCGTACCTGGCCAACCAGTTAGGGTACGGCGATATTGAGTATGCCAAAAGGATCCTACCGGCGCCAGTCCTGCCTACTCATTTTCTCCATGAAACGGCTCTCTTGTTCGCCCCACTCGCTCCAAGGCACCTCCAGGCCTTCATTCCGGCAATGAACATACCGCAAGAAAGTGCTGCTCCGAACGAAGAGCAATCCCTCCAAATCCGGAGAGTATTTTATGGTGAAGACGTGCATGCGGCTGGTGGGAGAGGGACAGGAAAAGCGCACCAGGCGCGGGACGGTGTTGATATCGTCCCAACTCCGCTTGGAAATGGCGTATGTATGGCCCGTTCGTCCCAGGCAAGGAGAGCGTCGCGATAAGAACGGGAACGCAGACCATGGTAGGGATAATTTGATATATGAGGATCTTCCCAGAATCCGCCCCAGATGTGAGGATGAAGACGTCTCGTTGCACAACGTCGAGCTCGTGGGTAAGAGGGGGTAATTGATCTTGAAAATCCTGTAATATTTGCTCAATTACTATTACTTATACGAATAACCACTTGGGAAGAATGAAAGACGCACATGGATCAGCAAACCCATCTTCCAATTCCAGATTACAACCCTGACACCGTGGAGGTCCTCCGTGGTCAGGAAAAGGACGTCCTCTACTACCTCAAGTTCCTCAGCGAGCAGAATGCTTCCACCATTTGGGCACAATTCGAAAGACAAGGGGCTTTCTGATAAGCAGGCAGGGTGTGGCCCGTTCGTCGAGATGGTGCGACAATCAAGGCTGCCACGACCGGTTCCACCGGGTAAGTTCCTGGTTCAAGGCAGCATATATCAGCATATATACCGTGTATTAGTTGTATAAACTCGCTCTTCGTACAAAAAGACCACCAGATCTTCTCCTACGTCCATCATGAAATCACGGACCCGGAAGCCCAATGGTGTGGCCATATTGTTTTCTTTTTTAGTACCAGACGCCAGCCAGTAAATAGAGAATTCGCGCCCGTCCGTTTGAGCGAATGCACCTGCTACGCAATCGTAGGCCGTTACACTTTGGTTAGTCTTCACGATCTCGACACTCCTCCAATTCAGGTCTGCCCAGGCCCTTTCTCGGGCCCGCAGGGCGGCCAGGAGTTCTGCTGTTGGTTTCCCAGAGCCCGCATCTTGCGTGGAGCTCATATCGAGCTCGTAGATGTATTTGATAGTGTCGGATCGGAATATCTGGTGGAGCGCTCGACAGGACTACATCAGGTAGATGAGGTGTTCCGAACTGTTCACGAGCAGAGCGTCGAGGACGTACCATCGCCACGACTGACCGAATAGAAGGGCCATCAAGTAGGCACATTATATCGAAGAGTAAGTCCTCTGGCATCGATATCAATGACTGCGCCATTGTAGAGGTAGTGGAGAAACAGCATGAGCGCGTTCGAAAAAGACTGCGTAGTGATGTGGACCAGTGGCAGTGTAATCATTTCTTCCTCAGTTCCTTATCTAATCTAATCTGGTCGAAATTTCTCGCCAAAATAAACGTCGACTTGAATGGTCTCCTCCATACGACATGCTCCCAGGACTCAAGTATTAAGATCCCTCTTTGTAAATCCCCAACCATATTGCCAAGCGTTCAGCCAAGTGTGTCTAGGACTTCCGAATCTGTTAAATAGCCTTGTTTGACACGCGGCGGGGTCTACGGTCTTCTTCCCAGCCAATCCCCAAGGAAGAATGAAGAGTGTCGCTAAAGCGCCATGCGTCCACGAACCAGCCCACAACTACAGCCCGAGCGACACCAATATTTCAGCAACACACCCCGTACGTCTCCATTCATAATTACTCGATTGGTATGACGAACGTGCTAATTATACACGGTTTACTTGTGTAATGGTTATATTTACTCTTGCTCTCCTTCCTTCCTCCGTCTAAGAACCTCTCCTCGGGCGGACGCATCTCATCTAGTCGACGTCGATAGAACCACGACAACGAGGAGCGGCAAGAAGGAAGGCGTCGGCATCGGTATCAGGTACAACGAGACAAACAAATGCTGAAACGAACGTAGTTGGTCAATGGGATTCAGAGTCGAATGGAATTGCAAAGACGAAACGAGAGTGAGAATGAGAGAAAAATGAGACGATGAAAAAACGAAAGGGTTTGGTCGAGGTGTGCCCGATGCGATTATTCTTTCTGCAAAAGTGTAATTCTGAAACTGCCAGCCAGCTCGTCAGCCCATGATCATGAACGAAGCGCGAAGGGACTCACCTAAAAATATACAATAATATTAATAAAAAGACACAGACAGTACGAGGCAGGACGATACGAGGTTCTTCTGCATGGGGTATTCCAAAAGCACGTCGAGCAACGAAGCAAGCGATTAACAACCTTGAGCCAACAATGCCTCTTCATCTTCAATATCGAAACCCACATCCTCCTCCAAATACCCCTTGTGCACCGAAAGCATCGTCGTTCTCCACGATCATCTGCCCAAACGCGTACCCACCGCCAACGTCAAACACGGGCCGACCGACCGCCCAACCCTAAGCTTGAAGCTCCTCTTCAGTCTCAACATAAAAGACGCACTGCGTTTCACGTTCTAATTCAGGGCCAACCAGTTGTGTACTATACGCCGCCATCCGCGCTCAAGTTGAATGATCGACAGTGGCATGACTGTCAGAGGCGCAAATGATCACCCAGCCTCAAGACAGTGAGAATCCTCAACGTCACTTTTCCCAGCCTGTGCTTCACGTCCCTCTACTCGGGATCCGCATCCTCGAAGTACATGCCCACACTGCTCATCACTTCTGTCATAATATTAATGACAATCAGAAGCGTATGTAAGCCTCCGAGCGCTCCCCGCAAATTACTCCTGGAAGAAGCGCCTTCCCAGTGCTTGATAACGATATGCGAAACCTGTTGCTAGCAACGCTCAGGAGCCCTCCTTCATGGCTTTCATACAACCCCACTTCATCTCGTCTAGTCCCCGGCTCGACAACACTCCGGTATTCGAAGCACTCATTCTTCTCGTCCAAGACATACAGGGGTTCATAAGAACTTCGAAGCACCCATGGCCACTGACACGAGCCTCCAAGAAGCATAACGAGCTAGCAGCGGCTGTGACGTCCTGGTGCTGTGTTTGCGAATCCGACACGTTGGATGATAGGATTCTCGAAGCCATGGTATTGAGAAGAACGAGGATGACAGCGAGGCGTCGCGGGATGACGACGGCCGGGCGCTTGCGCTATTCTTGGACGGTTGGGTTTATGTTTCTGTGAATTGTATTCTGACGGGACGGAAGGGCAAAAGAAAATCAGGGGAAGGATGGTTTCAGTCCACTGTGCGGGTTTGTCATACACTTCATATCTTCTGGAAGCCTGTGTTTTTGACGTCAATTAGGACACAAAACATCGTTGTGACTGGTCGACTTAGTACCTAAAACTAGTCCAGGATGTGTAACTGCGGCGATATGATTCGGGTCTATGAATAGGGTACGATAATCTTGTTGACAGAGGTGATGTACCTCACAACTCTGGTTATCGGATTCCCATTCCTTAGAGAATGCTAGCTACACCTAAGCTTCCGGCGGTCGAAAGCATCAGCACCTATGCTTTACGAGGGCACATATGGGTGAGTTAGGAACCTGTAGCTTGAAGCGTACTAGACCGAAAGACACTTGTCGATTGTGCTACCCTCCAAAGAGCGCGTCTTCGAAAGCTTCGAGTTTCAGGTTGAGCCCAGGTCTCCAGGGGAAGGATAGTCCCGATTCTTAAGGCTCGAGGAAGTACTTGTGTCCAGTCGAGGTGGATTTGGTATGGACTGATTCGAAGGGAAAGGTCACTAGTTCTAGCGTGAGTGCGATTAGAATTTGTTCAATGTACGATAGATTTTCTATCCCAAAGTCCTTAGAGTTGACGGTAAGGGACTAACTAAAGGCACCAACACACTCATCGAAGGGATACAGAGGACCCTCAGAAAGTTATACTGCTCTCGCCTCTCGATCCCCTTATCCTTTATCACACTCGTGGTCGCTTTCCCCGCTCGATCTCCATCTGGCTATCACCTGAATTCCATCCGGCCGTCCCTTGATAAACCTGTGTTCCATCAAGCACAAGGCCCATTGGACCTTCTTCATTCTCCTTCACTCCAAATCTTACCTTTTGCCTCAAGCTTCCATCGAGGTTGGGCAAGCCTCGCCCAGAAGCACCTTCGCCAAGCCCCGAACTGCGGAAGCATTCGCCTCGCTCAATGCCGAAACGGGCTTTTCCCGCAAAAGGAAACGCCAAAAGAGGCGCCCGTGCACCTGTGCGTCATCCCGGCCTTGTGTCCAAACCCGACTTGCTCAGTGTAGTACCATATTGTTTCAGTAAGCACAGTGATCCTTTGCTCTTTCCTCGATGACCACCTTCTTAGTCATTTTCAAGTTGGGTCGTGTTAGGTCATACGCGCTGATAGTTATCGTTGCTGTGCTACAGCATCACGGTGGATCAGACGACCCTGGATCACCTGCACGCCGCTGTAGAATGAAAGCAGTCTAGCTTCAAGTTTTGGTAGTCATCTGGGACTATAAAACAAGTTGCTGAGCATTGCTCACAGCTTTTGCCGAGTCGCCCACTCACCAACAATGACCTCTCAAAGTGATGCTAAGTCTCCATCCTCAGCATTGACGTTCAGCTTGCCAGATTATGACCTCGGAAACATGCCTATCGTTCCAGACCCACCTGACGCTAGCCCGTTATCTTTCGCCACTGCAACAGAGAGGAGCTTCACGGATGCTCCAAAATTAACGACTCTCACTATGACATCTTCCGATCCAGACATAAAACCTATTGTCGGCGGGCTAGATTGGAAAAAGAAGACGATGGAAATCAATGGTAAAATAAAGCCCATAGCAGAGCTCAAAAGCAAAACCAGCGGGTCGTCGTTCGACTTGTAAGGCGCCTCTCTTACTGCGAATCGTTCGTTCATTCCTCCTCCAGAACGCGTGAATGGACCTGGGGGACAAGCAAGTACGTGGTCAGCACCAAGAAGGGTGTCTGGATGGTGAGTGTTAATTCTCATAAATTTGCATACGTCTCTTGTTCTCATCTCCATTTATGATAAACAGGCGAAACGCGGCGAAGACTCAATCGCCGTTTTAACACGTCTGATCCGCCACCCTTTCAAGAAGGATGAGCTCCGCACATTGACCTTCCATGTTAACCTTTCGGAAGAAGAAATGATTTTCCTTATTTTAATCCTGATGTATCAGGATTTAAAACTCCCACCAGATCAAAGGCCAGTTGTACGTTTTCCACGCTCGTCTTGTTCTCAAATTTCTGCTGATCGAGTATTCCTTCTAGACCTTCAAGGCTGCAGCAGGTGATGCAGCAGTAAATACAACTGCGACTGTAGTTGGCAATGTAGCAACAGCGGGGCTAACATCTTGCTGCAGTATCCAATGAGTTCTAGGAGCTTTGGGGATGAAGGTGTAGCAGATTATTTCTCTTTTCTCATGTTTCAATTCCAACTCACCTTTGTTACCTTCGACTCTCATTTCCTCTTGATAATGTCACTTCTGCTCCAGTACCCTTCCTGATTTATAGTTGCCTTACCACTAGTCCCTTGTTTTGCTTTGATGCCCATGATCATGTTCCTTGGTCTCTGATTGTGACGGATGATAATGATCGAACACGAGGCTCAAGTGGTTGCGAGATGGAGATGGCAGGGCGCTTGGGATATTTTGAGCTTTTACTCGCGAGCGTGATGTGTCGACAATCATCATAACCTGGCAGGAAGAAGGCGAGAGGTGATTGGTACTCTGTGGGCCTTTATACACGAGTCCCGACCCCGACCCGCCCCCCGTGCAGAGCACGGGTAATCCTCTAGTCAGGATTAGTCTGGGATATGCAATCCTGCACCTACGATCCTGAATTTGAGCCGCGTTTTCCCGAAGACGGAAGCAAACGAGGACGCTCAATCGGCAATAAACTCTCTCGTGTGCAGGCTCGGACGGACATTAGTATACAAGGGTCAAGCGAGATAACAAGTTGGAGAGTCAAGATCAGACTCAACACTGGTCGAGGCATCCTGCAGAGCGAGCATCCCGCCTATGTCTTCAAACGAAATGAACGGCAATCAATAATTTGAGTATTCTAAAAATTGGTCTTGAAATGCGGCAGATATTCTACTTATCTACTTGCTCAGAGCGCGACGGAGTTGTGATAAGGGTAAGGAACGAGCTCGAGGAACCAACACACCAACACACTGGCAGGAAGGCGTCATCTCGTACAGGTAGAGGATATAGATATGCTCGCCCTCGAAATAATTCGGTATCGTAGTTGCTTTCCCGCTCAATCACCGCCGGTGTATCACCTGGTCTTCACCTGGTCTTCTTCACTTACTCTTCCAGCCATCGGTTCGTCCCTCGAGAAGTGTGCGTCCAATCAAGGGCTGTTTTCCCTTCCGCCCTTCTTCCTTCTGCATCGTTCGCACTCGTGTTGGTCTTGGCCAAGCCTCACCAAGGAATACCCGTGCCAAGACCCGAAGTTGAGGTCAGGGGTGGAACCGGAGCGCGGAAGCATTCGGGATCCCGAAGTGGGGATCTTGCCACAAAAGGAAACGTAAGAGGCGCCCAGGGGCCGCTCCACCTTCCCTCCGTGTGTCCGCCGCGCGGTCTTGACTCTTGAGAGCACCGAGTATGCGACTTGCCGGTACGAGGGATCAGCGCGAACACGGAGATGCCGTCATTATGGATTAAGAATCTGCGGTGAGAGGTGTCAATGAGTGTCGGTGGGTGGCAGTGGGCGCTATGCGACAGGAACAAGTCGACTCGACTCGACTCGAGTGCGGACGGCGTCGGCAATGGCGTCTGCGCTGGGCGATGACAAGCATAGAGGAGATAGCAAGTGATGAGGGACGAGCGACGAGAGGGATACATAACGGAATAGTGGCGCGCTGCGGTTGGTTACGCTCGACATAAGTCATTAACGTCCACACGTAGAATGGAGGTCATAATGTCGACACTCGACTTATGTTACGCGATGTTGAATTTCCTGAGTCGGGTTGATTAGTGAGAGCCTCGTGATATCATAAGGTACGCACACTGTGAGTTGTGAGGGTACCTTCGTGCTAGAGGCGCTGGTGGTGTTAAATTGGTGTTCCTTGTCCAAGAGTCCCCGACTATTCTGGATATATATAAGTATGGTTATTTGACTCGATTTACGTTGGATTTACGGTGCCGGTAAATCGTGGTCGGCAGGGCACCAGACGCCCGGAGCGCCAAAGGTGGGTTCGAGGGAAGGGCAAAAAGGCATCGCGGCCGTCAAATCAGCCCTGCACGAAGGGCCGAGCAGAGTCTGGGAGTGATGGGAAGGGTGCGACAACACATTTGGCGGAGTCCTGGATGGTGAAAATTAGTAGAACAGAGGCATGAAGATGTTACACAAAAAATAAATACCAAATGCCTCGAGGAGACATCCGTGCGCGCTTGCGCGCCTCGAAATTTTACTTGAAGGTCGGGAAATCAGAGGATTAGAGTGCCGCCATCAGAGTTGCAAGCGGCCGAACAGGGCAGGCGCTAGGCGACGGCTAAGCGCTGGCTCATCAGCCTGTAAATCGGGCCATGTAAATTGAGCCGGCTCGCTGTAAATCTTGTAAATCCAGCGTAAATCGGGCCAGCTCACCCCGTAAATCCCTCAAAATAAGTTACTTATTCAACTTATGCCACCCAAGGAAGCACTTATTTTGCCCCAGGACATGAACCGGGGGTGTTTGGGCAGTCCATGGGTCTTTTCTCTCACTCTCAATGCATTTGTCATGTTTCATTGATAAAATGCATATTATTTACATGTGTCAAGGTAGGAAAGACCCCAGGGCACGTCCGAAGGGAGGGGACGGCCGCTGAGCGACGCGGGGGAAGCGCACGGCGCTAGCGCCCAAGTGTGAACACGCGTCGTGAGTCGTGTCAAGGGGGGCTGTGAGACCGCCGGCGGAGCCCGAGAAACGTGCCCAAACTGAGGAAACTTGACCGATTTGGAAGGAGCCTGATCCGTGGCTGATCCGCCGCCAAGCGAGCGCCGGCATCTCGGCACCCGCCAACGATCGGTAAATCCGTCGGCATAAGTGGAATTAACGAGGCGTCGGCAGTTGGGAGGTATTCTGGACTGAAATTCCGCAGTAGTTCAAGTTCGAGCCAATTCCGAGATGGAGTCGGAGAAGAGGAGGGGAACAAACGTGTTAGCCTGGAGGGAGATAAACATAGCTCATAGCTCGCAGTAGCCCAACGGATCAGTGCCCTAAATAGGTTTGGCGTGCCTTTTCTTATTTCCATTGAATTTCTGCATATGGGTTTTGTGTGGCGGACCTGTCACGGTCAGCACCGAACGAGGAGCACAGGGGAAAACAATGTACGTGCTCGCCAAAGAAGAGGGTGACTGGACAGTGGCTTTTAAAAGGAGTATCGCATTGCGAATGCGCCGGTATTAAACGGCCCACCCGCTTGATGGTATCGTGCAGCGTGAGGTCAAAGGACGATCATTATGAATACGATGATGATTATTACTCGCCATGGCCAGGATCGTCGTTGGTACGCGTGGGGGCCGAAGTCGGTGAAGACGAGGAAAATCCCTTCCTTACTTCCTTGTGAACTATGAACCAGAGGCCGGTAGAGCGGGCTAGTGAAGAATTACCATCGGTATTACGCTCGCGTGGGGTTTGGGGGACGTTCGGGTTCGGGTTCGTCCTTGGCAGGACGTACGTTGATCATAGGATCATAGATACATCGATGCCGATGACGATGAGGGGGGAATGGTAATGGGGTCGTTTGGTGTTTTACGTCTTTATTCTAATTAGTTGGTGCTGGTGGGTTTGGGGTGGCCGCAGGCTCTCCTGGGAGCCCGACTTGACGGCGAAATGGGGACTTTGGGGTGTTAATATATAAGGGATGTATGGTATGATGATGACGAAAGAGATATGATGGTTCCCTTGGCGGTACTCGTCGAGGGGGGATGAAGACGAGGCCTAGAAGAAGTTTTCGAAGCAGGGGAGGTCGAGGCGGGTGGGCTCAGAATCGAGACGATCCGGGGGCGACGTCGCAACGCTCGAAGTCCTCCAATATACTAGCGTGAATATGGGACCGCATATTATTCGACCGGAGTGAATAGGCTTTGAACAGTTCATGAATCTCCCATTGGGAGGGACAGTCGGAAGATGTGTGCCTACCGTCGATTATTCGTGTGCTTCTCGGACCTTGGGCTTCGGGCACTTCTTTTCGTGCATTCGAAGTTGGACGTTGAACGTGAACGCGTGGGTGTTCGCGCTGCTGGACCTTGGGCCTGGCCAACCTCGCTCGTCTTCATCTTCATTTTAGCTGCCTGGTGCGTGTTCTGAATCCTTTCGCGATGAAATTTGAAGTCACAAGTGCGTTTTGGCTTGGTCAACCGGAGTGAATGGAACTCGAACTTGTCAAAAGAGGAGCGTAGTTACCATTTCGGCGAGAGCTGGGCCGTGGACGATGCGGGGAGATTGGAAGATGTACATGTGTGCCTACTAGTAGTCTAGTGCTATCGTGTGCTTCTCTGACCTTGACCTTGGGCTTCGGGTACTTCTTTGCGTTTGCGATGGTCCTCGAAGCTGAACGACGTTTGGGTGTTCGAGCGTTTGGACCTTGGGCCTGGCCAACTTACTAGTCCGCGTGCTCTGCAGCGCGCTTGGCCAGCGCTCATGCCATCTTCATCGCCACCCATCGCCCATCGACGTGATGAACAGTACGATGCAATAGTCCGACAAGTCTTCGATTTCGCACCTAGCCTAGTTCCCTTCTGCGCTGATTGGGTGATGTCATCTCTTTCACTACTGACAGAGAGGAGAGCGCGATGGGTGACGCTGTTGCCCTGGTTTCGGCGTCAGCGTCAGATGGCGCGTGGTTCTCGGTGTCTAGTGCGTGCTTGCTTGGTGACATCGACGTCGGCCATGGGAGGAGATTGATTATTTTGATGAAGTGATTGCTGGAGCGGTCGAGGACACTGGGGAATGGATGCCCTTCGGAAGCGTTCCGCTGCCGTGTCCCGGCGTGATATTGGCGTGCTAGAGAGATTTTGGTGGGCTGGAGAGTGGGTTCGATAGGGTACCGAATTTTTAGGGTGCCGGATTTGAATTTTATTTACCAGCTGGCGTACAGGCGCGGGTCAGAAATAATGATGCGCCAGAGGGTGATTGGGTTGACTGGCGGCGGGACATTTGAGGAATTAAACCACTGCAGCGGCGGCGGTGGCGAGGTAGCCTGTCTGTCAGGAGGTATGTCACGAAAAGTAAATTTAGAACCCGCGAAAAGTATATGTATGACGCAGGGCGCTGTTCCTCCGTTCGCTCTTTTCTCTCTCATTCATCATCTCGTTCTTCTTCCCATTCCGCTCGTTTCATGTTCTTCCCTTGAGAGGGGCTTGCTTCTGCTGTTTGTGTGGACCGGACGCAACTGGGCCGCGGTCCCTGGGATTTGCGCACGGGACACCTGTTCGTCCAGATAAGACGCAGGACCTTCCCGATTTGGACAGATAATATCCTCGGAGTCGGGGCGCGGGCGAAAGCATACATAACGCACGCAGCGTCCAATCCAGATCCATCCGTCCTCCCTCTTCCCATGTCCGACTCCGCCCCCACCACGACCACCGCACAGACCATCCGCCCCGCCCTCTTCCTCCTTGTCCCCCTCTTCACCGTCGCCCTCGTTGTGCTCGCTCTGTCGAACAGGCCCCAGGCGCAGGGACCAAGACCGTACTCGGAGGCGAAGAAGCAGGCGCGCATCGCGTATGCGCTTATCGGCGCACTTGCCGCGCTCGCCACCCTCGCTGGGGCCCTCCCGCTCAGCCACGCGGGGAACGCCCAGGCCGAGGCGCTCACACAGACTCTGCTGTCCCTTCTCCGTGCGTAATCGAACCCTCTGAAGACAAAGCCAGAGACTAACCTTGCCTGCAGTGGGCCTGCCCGTGCTGCACCTGCCCGCGAGCTACGTGCGCCCCAGGCACCCCCAATTAATCACCAGGATAGTGCACACGGGGCTTCTCGTTATTTTCCTATCAAGCGGTACGTGTCGTCCAACGTCTGTCTCCCGAAAAAGATAAATCGGCGCCTAATTGAATCTTGATTAATAAAAAACGCGCATATAGCCACCTTGCTCGCCCTCCTCGCGCCCTTTTTGCCCCCGTCAGACTCCGCTGTCCCGCTGTATCTCCCACCGGCTCTCTTCCTCGCATATACTCTCATCGCCGTTCCCCGCGTCGCACTCGCCCTCTTTTCTTTCTCCTCGCCATCGTCGTCGTCGCCCACGCGGCCCATCACCATCCACGTCGCCACACACCGCACCTCCATCCCCCTCAGTCTCCCATCGCCCGCATCTACCGCCTCCTCCTTCCCCTTCGATCACGACGATCACGACGAAGACGACATCGTCCACCGTCCACGCCGCCATCGCCACGAGAAGATCGCCAGCGTCGACTCTTCCACATCGACGATAACAGCCGTCGACCTCCCCAGACGGTCACTCGCATCGCCCACCCCACCCCTCATCGTCACACACGATCCCCTGCCGTCATCGGACATCGAGCACCAGCACGCCCGCCTTATCCCCCGCGACCGTGACATCGACGTCAACGCCACCTACTCTTATCCCGGGGCAGCGGCACACGCCCTGAACCAACACCACAGCGCCAGCGCCCATCTCCGCGCGCAGCTCATCTACAACCGCTCGCGGAGCCTCCTTGTGTTCCTGCTCGCAGTACAGTTGACAGCCCTCGCTGCGTACGCGTGCGCCCTTGCCTCGCATATCCCCGCCAGTTCGCGTGCGGCAGCGGAGGCCTTGGGAATCGCACACGCTGCTTGCACCGTGCTTGCGGTCACTGGAACCATGTCGGCATATCTTTGTAAGTCCTTCCGTCCTTCCGTGTTCTGTCTTCCGTCCTTCTCTTTTTCTCTGTGCGCCTACTACTCCCACCCCTGCAAATTCTCTGACCATCTTGTACTGCACCTTCCGTTCCGTCTTGCCGTTCTCGAAGTCGAAACTGACTACCGAGCCCTCCCACAGTGCACGCATATAACACCCACCTCTCTGCGAAACCCACCTCTTCCCCTTCCTCCAATCCACACCACCACATCTCCGAGG